TGGGAATATAATAGTACAAATATAATAAACAGTGTCAGATCCACCGGAAAAATGATTAATTACTCTACGTGGCTCCTGTATCGTTCAAATTAACTATGTGTTTGTGTTTTCATCATCTATTCATCATTTTAGATTGATATAAAACACTAGTTGAGTAAACTAGTTACTACTTACCGATGAAATTTCATCCAAGTTAGATTAATTTATGTTTCACATGGTCACAGTATTTATAGGATTCCGACAGACGTTCAGCGGCGAAATGTAGGCAGTCTCCGCAGCGCCACCTGCATGCAGTGACGCGAATTGACGGATGAGGTGTGACCTTATAATATTTTAATCGTTTGATATTTTGAAAAATGACTCGACTAGACTAATTATTTAACTTATCTGTTTCATGAATCGTTCGAAATAATAATTCGAAACGGGAAAAAAACGGAAAATAATAGGTATACGGAAATATCTGAAATCTAATATAGTAAAAATGTTGCTCGAAGCTAATATCATGATCATTATATAATCGACGCTGTAATCATTATTACTTATTTCACTATCCAGTAGATCATTCCACATTCGACTGCAGAGTAGTTATGACGAATATTTGCGAGCGCTGTCATCAAGAAGCGAAAACGGTACGAGAACTTTGTGGAAATTGTTTTATAACAGAGTGTCTCAATACTGGAGAGCGGATTGCTTTCAACATCAATAGAACGTGGGAAAGTTTTAAAAAGAGAAAATTCACCTATAATAGACATCAGCTATTGTGTGAGAAATGTGGGAAATTCTTGAATAAAACTAACCTATACCACCATATGAGGAATGCCCATAGAGTGGACGCCACCAATTCGAATAACCTAGCTGATTAGCGGATGGCAGTTAATGGATTCAGAAGTCTTCAGATCACACCTATAGAAGTATTCAGAGGTATTCGGATGTCTTCAGAAGTCTTCAGATCACGCCTTCAGAGGTATTCAGAAGTCTTCAGATGTCTTCAGATGTCTTCAGAAGTCTTCAGATCGCGCCTTCAGAGGTATTCAGATGTATTCAGATGTCTTCAGAAGTCTTCAGAGGTATTCAGATGTCTTCAGATGTATTCAAGAGTCTTCAGTTGTATATCAGACACCATAGCATTCACATCATGGAGCCCCATTCATCAGAGCAAGCATTAGATAAATATCACTGTGCAGATTATGATAATGCTTATGGACCGAAATATCTTGACGGCAGATGGACACTTGGACATAAGAATCTACGCTTTGAGGACCAATACATAGGCGTAGATAATGTCGATTTTAAAAGTACTCTGGGTCTTTTGGAATTATTATTTTCCAAAAACCCTCGAAATTACACGCCTCTGGATCACCAGATGTATAAACAGATACTGGAAATCAGCTCTATTCATAGAGATCGATTAGGGCGATTACGAGGACAAGCTGATAAGGAGAAATTCGATAAAATTATCAGACCCCTCTTCAAAAATAAGACCAAGCCTAAACATCCAAAGTCGAGCGTGGAGCCTGAAGCCAGTATTGGGAATGAAGAGTACAATATTTTAGATGAATGGACAGATCCGAATATCTTGGTGGATAGACTGAGATATTTAATGGAATCAGATAAGAACAACAACGAGATCGCCTTTATTCTTACTGAACTTGAAAATGTTGGTATAATATCTAAGAAATAAATGATGTCAAAATTATCCGTTTTTTATTCAACACCTGCTAGGCGAGTAGACTCACAATGACTACTCAACTTGGCATACAAAAATATATATTTAAAAACCCTGTATAATGACTGGTAGGTAGTGTGATGAAATCATAAACTTGGTTGACTTGCTGACTGTCTTTGGTCGACTGACATTTTTACGATGATAATCACTCTAAGAGTCACAAAAATGAAAAACGAGGTAGCGACATTTCTTGCTGACCCGCCCTGTATAGCAGAAATATTTTTTAGTGTGGGACTAAAAACAGCTCTTGTTTCAGCTTGAACAGCTGTTTTTTGTGTGATTTCGATAGTTCCTTGTATCTCATATATGGAACGATAAGAGAATCAATAATAATAGGATTATTTCCTTTATTATCCGTTAATTTTAGTCTATAACTCAGCTGATTTAATCATCTTTCTAGGCTTTGAAAGAATATGATTTTCTGTATACGCCAAATATAGAACAACCAAGATAACGGCATCCTGTTTGAACGCTCCAACTTGAACAGCTGTTTGATTTCGGTAGTTCGTTGATTTCGTGAAAAGACGATAAGAGAACCCGTGTATGTCTTTTATACCAACTCGTTAATTGTTGTCTATAGCTCATCTATTGTAAGAGTATCAGATTTTGAAATATTCGGCGGATTCAGTGGCAGATAAAATGCATAACAATGCTTGAATATAATATGCACACATGAAGACTATTTTTCATATTAAGCCTCTCAATGTATAGGGTGAATCAGTCAGTAGTCGGACACTTGTCCAATATCCTACACTATGTTAAAGACAGTCACGCACATCACTAAATTGGCACGCTATTATAATTTCAATAGTACCAACTGCTCAATCGAAAAATGTCTAGAATGGCGTGGAAACATTGGTGCTACAGATTTCTCTTCATTTGGAAGTAATAAGTTATTTGCAGGCAAACTTGAGAAAACTATGTTTCTATTTCAATAGAGTGATTCTTCATCAGGCTATTACTTCAAGGAATGATCTTTGATTTTAGTTTTCGCGATATAGATATAAGTTGATCAGTAGGTTTTATTACTGGTTAAAATCGAGAATGATTCATCTAATAGACATCGTTAGGGTGGGAGTTTGAATTTTAGGTTTTTCATTAGTTATTCCTTGAAAGACACTTACCTGAAATGTACGTTGGTCAATCGTTAGCAAATTATACCAATCGGCAACCTGCAGGGCTGCTATAATGTTGCTTGATACAGCGAAACTGAAATATTTTGTAAATAAAAGTGATATTCGTAGAATAAAATTGTAGACCTAAAAGGCCAAAACCCGAAGGATACGGGATGGACTTTATCGTGCAGAGTGAATGAAAGCTCTCATGTATGCTGCATGAGTTAAATCATACGAGCATTCTGTGTGAGTTATATACTACGCGTTTTCTATGACTACAGCAAAACTCTTCAGCTTACTGATTTTAACTAATGTAATTGCTTGAGATATTGAAGATGACATACGCAATGATGTAATTACCTCAATTTTAAACGAGAGCACATTAGGCACATCGGAAACCCTATGAATCTAACTTTCCATGGAAATTGGATAATATATAGGATGATCCATTAGAAAAAAACGTTACAGCATCTTAACTCGAACGTATAGACCACCCAGTATATTTACTTTTTCTCATCATTATTACAGTGTACTTCATCAACGTTACAGCATCTTAACTCGAACGTATAGACCACTCAGTATATTTACTTTTTCTCATCATTATTACAGTGTACTTCATCAGGAAATTGTTGCAACATCTTAGCTCAAACCTAGATCATCCTGTATATTGGAAATGGAAAAATCTATATGTTTTAGGAGATTCTTGTACTTATGAAAGCGCAGCTTGAACTTTTTTCTATTATTTTTTTGTTTTTAGTATCTTTAATGAAATTTCGAAAATGGACATTGTGCGCGATCAATAACTCAACACAAATGAGGTAGAAATTTGTGAAACATGGTAATCCTAACATTATCAACAAGTATGGAAAAGCGCAGATAGAAAATTGTCCAATAAATTTTAGAGCAGTACTTGATTTAAAAATATTCAGGAAAATCTTTAAATGAAATTATTCTTAATTGCATCCTCTCATGGCTCAACAGCGCATTTTCGTATAGAGGTAATTTGATTTCAATCAGTCTATTTCGGTGTCTAGTTCACCCCGGTGCAATGTTGTTCTGGGAACACCTTGTATAATATGTTTCTTTGTTAGTGGTATATCGCGATATTGCACTATCGTTATTCTTCATATGGTTTTGGAAATTAATTGAAAAACATATCTAACCTTATAGTTCCGCCTTCAAATTCATAAATATAGGTAGGTACATGGAAGTTGTAATAATATCTGTGTTATAAAGCTTCAAAATTGGTAAGTACCTACTTATTATACTTATATTGATTATGGAGATTTCCTAATAATCCGGTTGAATACCGTACGCATTTTGATGCTGTTTTTTTAATGTTTCTCTGTGATGTTTAGAAAATGCTCATTATTCTTTCCAGAAAAAGGGTACAATATGTCAATTATTCTCGCTCATGGCTATGTTAATTGATTATGAAGAGGTGATTTTTCAGGAAGCGGATTCGAATAATATGATAATGATTTTGATGCTATTTGGAAATATTCGCAAACGATTCACTGTTGCATTTCAATTAACAGTGCTACTCCTGAAATGCATGGAGTAAGTAACAAAGCCTACACAGAACAGAACGGAAGGAATGATGATTATAATATGGTCGTGAGCATCAGCGAAGAAGTTGTTTCGGAGTTATTTTGAGAATTTCGCGCAACTCTCAAAACCAAATAAAATTGCTCTTAATATTCATACTGCGTGTACAAATGGATGCTACTATAATGCCGCTAATAACAACAACGGTATCTGAATACAACATGTACGAATACAATAGGCTACAAATATTATCGGGAATGAGTAGGCAGGTATATTTAATCTCAGATCTTCCTTATGCTTAAAATAGATGATGTATGTTAGAAGTGACATTGAAATAAATATAAATATTTAATCGAATTATCGAATGGTTCCTATATAGACATATAGGGGCTAACATTTAAAGTGTATTGAAGTGGTGTACTTGATTTTTTACAATTTTGATTGGATATAAATATGTAGCCTGGGAATATTATGTATTGATGTGTCGAAAACTGAGCAAAAAACACTTTGTACAGAGATAATCGAATAGTCTCGAGAGAGAAAATGTTGAGGAACTTCATTTCTAAATTTCAAGATCTTGTTCAATAATATATAAAAGCTAAGTCACTCACCTCTTAGCCGCAAATCTGTAGAAATTATGCTCGAAAAAGATGTACAGGTATAGAGGTGTAAAGTCCGAAGAAAATGGTACAGCGAGATGAGCTCTCCTAAAAATACATATAAAGTCAGATAAGTACTTAAGAATCTCATTGTTATCATTGTGAGAAGAAAAACATAAAATTCAATATGCCACAATGAATTGACTGAGGTAAACTTATCTTAGAGAACATTATGCATTATGAATGGCTTCTAAAATCCGCTCAAAATAGATGAATAGGTATACATCAGGTGTAAAGTTCAATGGAAATGGTGCAGCAAAAAGAGCACTCATGAAAAAAATATAACCGAAAGCTGTATTACACAGAAGTGAATACAGTTTGTTGAAGCTGGGCGTTATTACCTAATGTCTCCATAATAACAAAATTTAATAAAAAGGTTCATAATAAAAGAGGTTTCACTATCACTTCAGTTTGAGTGACTTGGAACTCTACTGGAGACTAAAGAAACTCGCTATTTTTGATGTGTGAAAACAGAAATTATTCTCAAGCTGTCCAAGTTCTTACATTATAAAATAAAAGGGCCGCCTATGGATCAGTCGATATTTCCTAAATAATATAAAATGCTCAACTTACCGGTGCTTCTACACTAATACACTTCTTTTTTTCAGTCTGCTGTACGAAATTATCCTTTTATATGTTAGTCGTTTCCTGTTTTTTCATAAATCCAACCACTTTTTAGCCTCAAATCAGCCTTCAGAAATGTGTTTTTCCCAAACGTCATTGAAAAAATAAAGCCAGTAGAGTTTTCCCATATTTTATGTTCGATAACAAATTTGTGTTTTTTTCTTGAAATCATACATTTTGTTATCTATAATCATGAAACAGGAAGCTCTTATCTATAATGCAGAGTTTCTAGTCTCTGTATTCCGAATAGTAATTCAACATTATTTTCAGTCTTGAATATCGACGCGTATGTAAAATTCCTCTATCGCGCTGTTTTTCTAAAAATATTATGTATGAATTTGTGCAGTGGTGTTCGCTTTTCAAAGAATCGTGTATGGAAATAGGGTTGATCGATTTTTGTTTTATTTAAATTGTTTTTTCACTATTCCCATTCATTATTCGGATTCTCATCGAGGCTATATGGAAAAGAAAGGTAAAAGTGCTTCATGCTTTATATTTTTTCCTATATAGATCTTCTATATAGATACAAGTAATCAAAAAGTTGTGTATGAAATCTCGCATCGCGAGTTTTGGCTGAAAGGCCCACAGACTTGAGATACCAATCATTTGCTATGAAATAAATGTGAGTACCTTGCTAATATAGTGCTAGAGTATCTCTGATGCGCAGGCTGTTTTTTCAATATTCCCTTAGCCACTAGCGGCACTAACCCGTTTTTTGGGTTGAGTCAGGCTCAGGAATTGTTATATATTATTTGGATTTGCATTGAGCGCACTTTGATGCAAGATTTCGCGACACCGCGTATTTTGCTATCTAGCGAGTAGCCTGATAACATCTATCAATCTAATATGTTTTGCTGGGCTAGCACCTAAACTGCTATTCAACGCCCTATTATGCTGTCGTTTATCATACGTGAGCTGTCATCTATCGAATTTTTGTTGGTAAAGTGGAATGGAATGCCCTTTTTGCAGCTCAAGCACCTGATTTTTTGTTCAGTGCATTATGGAGCACTCTGTATGTTGTACCGCGAAGAGCGCCATCGTATATTTTTATTGCAGTTCAACTCTGTATTATTTTTTTTGATCCATGAATTATGGGTCGTCCTGTATATTTTTTTTTTTACTATTCAACTCAAACATGATTTTTTCAGCCTGAATACCTCTGAATACTTCTATAGGAAAACGAGTTTTGCTAAAGAGTTGTTTGACATATTTCAAAGTGGACGGTAAAATGATGTTTTTACTGGGTATAGGTATGCTGAGTTCGCCTGATGTCTAATATTATCATTATAAGTATGGAGAATTTCAAGACTCTGACTATGTTTCTGTATATAGAAACTGCTATTCGATCGTTTGTTATCTGCCCCGGTCATATGCTGTCATGTCATCTATCATCCATTTGATTGAATTACATCGTGATTGGGTTCATGCGTAGTTCTATAGTTTGTTTTTCATAATTATTTGAATGAGTGGTAATAAATTTTAGATTTTTTTCTACTCCCTGTATATGTTTTCAAATAATTCATTCGACTCGAGTTTTATGACTCATTCTGTGTATGTTTCTTGAATATTTAATCCACCCTACTTATTCTGCTCATCCTGTATATGTTTTTTCAGTCGAATCAGGTTTCTCCAATCGCTGTGTATATGATGATATCCTAGAAAAAGTACGTAGATCTGGGGAAAAACTCTGCTTTGTTTTACGCAGTCACTTATGGGACGTAACTTGTAATTTCCATAGAATCTAGGGAAAAATTAACTCTTTCGCTTTCATAAAATTCATAAGTTGTGCTAAACCTGGATATCTGTTTTCGATAAGCGCTGGAAGGTTACGTGTCATACATCTCATCTGTCGAATAGTATAAATGTCATCTGTCATACTTTAGTTGTTGAATGTCTGAATAATTCGATTTTCATTCTACAACTTCACCACCCTGTATCTCAGAAAATGGAGCCATTTCGGACTGAGTAAGTTCCTTTAATCCAATTGAATTTAATTGATCTGCCCTATACAAGTTTGTATTGCTATTATTGCTGTATATTCAACGGACTCTAGCGAGTTATCTGTCATACGTTAATATGTTCGCAGGGTCCGCCTGTCAGTTCTTGCCTCCCTGTATATATAGTTTTATTACTATCCAAACACCCTGTATAATGATCGGAATCGTCAACTAGCGTCATCTGTCACACTTTTGCTAAGTCCACCTTTAACTTCTTACCACGAGTGCCCTATATAAGTTTGTATTGCTATTATTGCTGTATATCGAACGGATACTATATCATACGTATGTTTGCTACCCCGTGAGACACCCTATTATTTCTTATCGCTATTGCTAACTCAGACCAGGATATATCATGTTATTGAACGAGTTTTGATAAAGAGTTGTTCGACATATTTCATGGCTAATGAAATCTGACCTCAGCATCAATTATTTCCATCACATACTTAACTGAACGTTTCCCTACACACATTTCAAATGATATCTCATAAACCTTGAGACTTTGCATATGGACGAACCAGTATTGGAATGCTCGCGAAAAATCCTTCTCTTAGAGTACCTGCACCCCCTCTTCAACCCTCTGATACCTCAAAGTATTACTGCGGATCACCCTGTATATATTTATCGACTAATATACAACTCAAATACCCTATATATTAGATTGAATCATTAGCTGGCGGGTAGCCTATATGCTGGTCACCTAGTCACGTGTCATCAATCTTTGTCATCTGTCACACGTCAGCTGCCTAATCTCTCAAAAGTGGGTAGGTCGCCCTGTATATTTTTTGACTGTTATCCATCTCAAACGCTCTGTATATATCATTAGCTAGCGGGTAGCCTATATGCTAGTAGTCTACTCGTCGGGGAGGTATAACGCCTTTTGGGTTCACTCTATATATTTTTTCCCCAACTATTAGCCAACTCATACACCCTGTATATAGCCATTATTGATTGAAAAATGTATCGAAATGCGCGCCGTTATCTCTAGAACGGATCTCTCGCGTCGCTCGTTGGATGACCTTGAAAGGAACCAAAAATTGCAGAATGAACCTTAACTTTTCTTATGGAGATTAACATGGGAAAAGTGACGTTTTGATTCTGGAACCGGTGCAGCTCCTTTACTAGCATTTTCATCCCTATCATTATTATCATTGTCAATATTATGGTTTCCATACATTGGCGGTGCACACATCAAAAAATATCCCCGCGTTTCAATAGGTTTTGATAGTCCGGTATGTGTTGTTTGGTTTGTTAATGAATTGGATCAATAACTTATATTTAATATCTCCTTGTTTTCTTAGGCCACCTTTGTATCGTACTTTATTTTGTATTTGAGGTTTGTGCTGATTGCATTTTGCATTGATGAATTATTTTTTATTAATTAATTTATTAAAAACTTTTATTTAACTTTCTTGCAATCTTTAAACTCAGTTTTGAAGTAGATATCTCCAACCGATTGAGCTGAATTTTGTATACACGTTTAGTTTGGATGTCTGATAAGAATGTCTAAATCAGACAAAATGCGAGTATTTATTTATAAAAAATCACACACATGCATTGCATCTTATGATGAGAATTTCTTTCCACGCCCTGTATGATGGATATCAATTTGTCATACATCTAAACAAGATCTGTGATTATTTGGAAATTTGAAATGAAATAATGAGAAAACAATTGAACATCGCATGTTTTAGACTTTGGGTGAAAAACATGTTTTCTTACGTGTGAAAAATACTGTTTGTTATGTTTCTGTTAGAACTTCCAGTTTTCGATGAGAATGGGTTCTAGTAAAAAATACTGATAGTTTGATAATTTCATCATCTCAATCAAAGAATTTCATATGAACCTGAGTCCGATATCGGCCAGTAGCGGATCTACAGGGGGTCAAAGTTTAATTATTCTTTTTTCTATTAATTGAAATATCTCGCTCACTTTTGGATATATCAATCTGATCTTGAGCATGTAGAAATTTTTTTTAATTCACAGGGTGATACGTTTTTTTGATTATGATCTAGAAAGTATTGACCATACCAAATTTCAAATTGATATCTTCTGAAATGAGCGAGATATTTCAATTGATAAGAAAAAGCAATTGAACTTTGGCCCCCTGTATTTCCGCTACTGATCTAGATCGGACACATATTTATAGACACTCTTCCGATTTAAATGATGAGATCTATCACTCATTTCAGTTTGTACCTCAAAACATGAATCACCCTGTATAAGTATATCTACTTACATATAAGAACAGAGTCATAAATAGCTCTAGATATAGTCAACTTCGAAAACCCTGTATAGTCTACTCGAAGAATTTTTCAAGTTCCTACATTACGAAATCATTAGATCAAATTCATATTGGTATGCTAAAACAAAACTTAGTAAATATCATAGTTTTAATAGTTCACCTTCGCCATTTCTTTATAGTCC